GCAACATATATATACAAATTTAAAAATGAGTTTTGCCGGAAGTAAACAAAAGAGTTAGTGATTTACTCTGATATGCCAACTTATTAACCTACGGAGGAACAAGCTGAATTATTTTTTTAATCGTTTCACTCCAAGTAAGGCGATAATGCCACTAAGAAGCAAGGGGTTACTGGGTGTGGAAGAGAAAGAGAATATTTTAGTGAAGATAACGAACAATAAAAGAACAGGATTCAAGAAAATAGAAGATGGTGATTGACATTGCATTTAGTTACTTTAAGATTGTAGGTGGCAGGGAATAAAAGAATCGAAAAAATTATACATGTGAGAAATTCGGGAAAAATATTAGAATAGAACTCACGGTTAAATCTAGCCATTTCAACAGTAAAACGAGACCTAGCTGCCAATCTAATAGTATGCTTAAGTCCCTGTGGTCGAGGTACCAAGTTCATTAGAACAATCGCTATGATAATATTTATAGGAAAAACAGTTTTGTTAAGAAAGTTTGAATCAACTCCAGTATTCAGCCATAGACACCATAGATTGTTAAGAAGCCTAGCATGCCAAATCCTTTCAAACGCCTTCGGGATATTTGAAGCCAAATTCCGTATGTAGCATTTCTTATTTAAAAACATTGATAGATAAATTCAGTAATTGACGGTAACATATCGGTAGCTGACCTAGATAAGCGAAAGCCACTTTGATTATTTGAGCGAACGCTTTGTGAAATAAGATATTTAACTCATATGGTGTTGATTAGAACTTCTTATACTTTATCAAAAATAAAAATAAAATGAGACGTTAGAGAAGACAAAAAGACCGTAAAAGAAAAGGATTTAGGAAGACAGAAGATGGCAATTGACGTTGTATTTACATTTTCTGAAGATCGTCGGTGACAGAGAAGCAAGAAATCGATAGCCAGTTCGAAATGCGAGGAATTATTAGAATAGAGCTTACGCTTATGTCCAGCTATTTCAACAGTAAAATGATGAAACCTATTTGCCAATCAAGTAGTATGCTTAAGTCCATGTGGTCGAAGTACCAAGTTTATTAGAACAATTTCTATGATAATATTTATGGAAAAGACCGAGGGAAGCCACGTCACGGATTGAAATCGAGATACTAGGCTAGAAATGATTACTTTACAGGCCCTTTTTTGGATATAGTCAAGAGTCTGATAATATATAACCGGAGCACCAGACCTGATATTACAGAAATATTCAATGCACTGACGAATATTATAAATGTGCAAGGCGGATTTGGCGAGAAAAATGGTTGGAACGAAACACTAAAACACGGTTCTCAGCAACAAACCTAGCAATTGATCATTTCAATTCATATCAGTGAAAAATACAAGACCAAGAAGATGCAATTAGTTCGTTCTCCTGGAGGTTATCATCAGCCATGATGATGGAAGAAAAAATGGTTCTTCTTGGTGATTAACATTAATCAGTTACGTTTTTGGTGTGTTAAAATTTACAAACCATCTCTTGTCCCAGTTGATAACCGATTGGAGGTCATTTTCGATAACAGCTGCCAGTTTTACTTTGTCGAACATATCGGGATTACGTTTAAAACAGGAGTAAATAGTTTTGTCATCAGCATAAATACCTAGTTGCATACTGATGACAGGAAGTTAATGCAGGTAGGTTCAAGGATAGAGCCCTGGTGACTCGTGTTAATGTGAAATCATATAGAAGCGTGGTCGTTGAACACCACTTTTATCACACGATTTGTTAAGAAAGATTCGACTAAGTAAAATATTCCATCAGGGAAATCATAGCCCTTGAGCTTGTGAAGAAGGCCAGCATGTAAAACCATGCCAGACGCTTTCAATATTTTTACAGCAACAGCACGAGAATCGAGAATATCGTGATATATAGCCGGAAGGGCCAGACCAGATATGGAAGCAATGAGAATCGAGAATATCGTGATATATAGCTGGAAGGTCCAGACCAGATATGGAAGCAATGAGAATCGACAATATCGTGATATATAGCCGGAAGGGCCAGACCAGATCTGGAAGCAATAAGAATGAAACCTCTCGATCAGAGGCCTTGAAGCCGGTTGTACTTTATCGCCAGGACGAGCTTAATTTAGGTCACAGCATTTAGTTACTTAGTGATCTAAAACCTATAAGTATCATTGGAGATTTAAAATTTTCTTATTTTTCTTATAGCAATGATAAGTAATTATTTTTACATTATTCCAACTTCCTAAGATCTGGCCAAACAAATGAACTCATTATTTGTATTGTTCATGTAGTCAGTATATGGTTGCGGCTACTATAAGATGCTATATTTACTCATTCCCCCCCACTAGAACGAGATGTGACACAAGGTCGGTTTAATGTGGGGACCCGAGCGCGTACACCTGGGCAGGGACAAAAATTCCCCTCAGCTCCCGCAACCGTCGGTTGCGCTGGCCTCGGTGCGAGCACCGATCCCTCCCTCTTGTTCAATGGGAGGGCGCGGCCTCGGGTAGCTGTTCCCCAAGGCTGGGCACCACTTCAGTTTTATTTTCTCAGTTGCCCCTCCGTCCTTAGACAGAGAAGCCCCTGAGCGCACCCTGTCCAAGGACAGAGACGCAACTTTGAGATGATAAATGATGCGCGTACACCCCTCCAAGGAGGGGGCTATTCAGTGGTATCATCTATATGAAAAGCGAAGCTCCTTTCCTTGTTTCAGCAGAAAACTCTTTGTCTTTCTGTACGAAAGAAGGCTAAAGAAAGAGATTGGTTGAATTGCAACAACAGCAATACAAGTGTTTCTTTTTCCGAGAAAATCTTTGAAGTTTTAAATAGTGCAATAATTGATGTGAATGCTGTTGACACATCCCAGACGTATTAACACTTCATCTGGATAAGTTTTTTTTTTTCAGATCTATTTCGTCGTTTTTTCTTTTCTTTTTTTTTTTTTTAGGAATTTTCATTATGTTAGGAAGGCAACAAAGAAACTTGTATTGAAGTGGATGTTTTGAAATCCGGTTTATTAGACAGCAGACAATAAAACTTGAGATTCTTAACTCTAGGCTATAAATAGTGAGACGGATATTCAATCTTGAATTTTTCTAACGAAGAATCAGAACTAAGGACTAATTTACTTGCAAAGTTAACAAATTTAATCATTTTATTGACATGTAGATTTTAATTTTATAACTCTATATAAATTTATACGTATATATATTTATGCATATTTTTCTATATAAATCTATATGTATATATATTTATGCATATTTGGATGTGCAGGTTGTGTAGTGGCTGGAATGAGAAAATACCCTTGGATAAGCTATGCATCCATCTCCTCTCCCCCAGTTTGAGGTTAAATAGCGGAACAGAATGGGCTCTCTAGTTGTGGACAACAACCACTCTAGACAAAGAATTTCAAAACCTTAAACAGAGACTTAACTTGGCAGTAATGGTCACATTCGTTTTACGAGTCAACATTCCTCAAATTTAGAATTCTTTCAAACATTTTTTAATTCAATTAATAATAAGCATTTGATTAAAGTTTATCTTATTTTTGTAATAATAATATAGCTACATCAAAATTTGGTATAAACTGTCTGAAGTTTTTTAATCATTTCAACGCAAGCAAGGCGAGAATGTCACTAAGAACCAAAACATCACTGAGAGTGAAAAAGAATGAAACCGGAAACCCAACCTAAGCAAGAAACAAAGGATAAACCTTTACTCGTGTTTTATAGAAAGAGAAGGAGTGTGAACCCGTCGATAGATGAATAATTTTGAATGTATAAAATCTTATTCGAAGATGGGAATAAATACCATGTACATTGTGTGAATATATATATATATATATATATATATATATATATATATATATATATATTATAATTTTATTATATAGATATATATATGATAAAATTAATATATATATATATATATATATATATATTATAATATTATCATATATATATATATATTATAATTTTATATATATATATATATATATATATATATATATATATATATATATATTTTAATTTTATATATACAAAAACAGTTTACTCACTAAAATATGCAACTTCGTTTCTGTGCATTTCAATTGCAACTCAAGGTTATGAACAATTCTGCTCAATTTCAGAATTGTTCATAACCATTTTTAGTTCTCACCCGTCGAGGTGCAATTGAAATGCACCGAAACGAAGTTGCATATTTTTAGTGAGTAAACTGTTTTTGTCTATATGATAAAATTATAATATATATATAATTACTATCGGTATCAAACCCTCTTTTCGATTAATGCTGTCAACATATATTACTCTCGTTCTTATTGCATCATATATATATATATATATATATATATATATATATATATATATATATATATATATATATATATATGGACAAGGATTTGGTACCACACGGCATAAATAATTTCTTGAAAAAAACATAGGCATTCTTTCCCTTTAGGAGTCTTACAACCAACACTTCATCAAAAGGAAATATTTAGTAAAAATGAGACGAGACAGGATGATGTTTACAAAAAATCAAAATTAGTAAATGCGGATGAGAAACTTTGCAGTGCGATTAAATAATTTATTTCTGAACCAATTATATGAATAAGAGCCAATGCCCTTCTGTTGTGTGAAGTTTCTAGTAAATTAATAATGACATTGTGTAACCAGCTTGACAAGCATTGCTGTACGGTGAAATACCATAATGCCTGGCTATAATTTCAGTTTTAGCTATTCCGGTATCAAATTATTTGAATGCACCTTTGACCTAAGTAATAATCCTCAATGTTTTGGCCTTATCGATTTAGGCGAGATATTTGTATTTTTGCTCTCACAAGAGATTGGGACCAATGCTCTGTAGATTATAAGTGCTTTTGTTGACTTTATGTTTACAATTTTGGTTACTTTATTCCATTCTCTTTAACTTTAATCGATAGTTTCTATAACAGCTATGAATCTTATTTTCTTGGTCGAAATTAGTTGTGTCCGTTTGTTTGGTGTTTATAGGAGAACTGTTGAGATGTTAAATGCACTTTTGTTATTATAATTTATTGTATGGCACAAAAAGGGGGAGCAGCCTGCTCATTATCCTTTTCATCGTCACAATGTTTGTTTATATTGTGGTTATTTACACATAATTCTCTGTAGTGGTTTTTTCTCTTAGTCCTTCTGCTTGTTGTTATTAGAAGAAGAAGAAGAAGAAGAGTAGAAGAAGAAGAAGAAGAAGAAGAATATGGATGAGAAGAAGAAGAAGAAGTTGTAGCAATTATTCATTGTTATTCATCTTTCCGTTCTTGCCCTTCATTGTAATTATTTCTTTTCTCATTTAGTCGTTCCTTTTCTCTTATTGCGATTTCCTTCCTTCGTTATCTGCTTCTTATCTTTCATTTGGTTCTTATTGTTCGTCCCCTCGTCGTTCTTGTTCTTCTCGTTCTTGTTCATTTTCTTATTCTTCCTGTAATGCTTCTTTACGTTCTTCGTGTTCATATTAGCATTATTCTTATTGTGATCATTATGTTTCATTTTCTCATTGTCGTCTTTCTTTTCGTTCTTTTTTTATTTTTTAATTGTTGTACATCTCTTTGTTTATTTCAGTATTTTTGTTATTTTCGTTCTTTTTCCATTTCTCATTATCGGACTTCTTTTCGTTCCTCTTCTTTGTGTTCTTTTCATTTTCTCCTTGTACTTATTTTCGTCCTTTTTTTACAGCTTGTTTCATTATTCTTCTTCTTTTCGTTTTCTTTCATTTTCTCATCTTTTCGTTTTCATTGTTTATTTCATTATTCGTGTTCTAATCGTTTTTTTTCATTTACTCATTGTTGTATTTCTTTTCGTTCTTATCGTTCCTCTTGTCATTTTCCTTCCTTTTCATTTTCTAATATTTTACGTCTTTTCGTTCTTTTCGTTCCTCTTGTTATATTCATTCTTTTTCTTTTTCTCATTTTTGTATTTCTTTTCGTTCTTGTTCCTCTTTTTATTTTCCTTCCTTTTAATTTACTCATTGTTGTACTTCTTTTCGTTTTTTTATTTTCATTCGTTTTCTTTTTTCATTTTTGTACTTTTTTCGTTCTTTTCATTCCTCTTGTTTTCTTTCCTTTTCATTTACTCATTGTTGTACTTCTTTTCGTTCTTTACATTCCTCTTGTTTTCTTTCCTTTTCATTTACTCATTGTTGTACTTCTTTTCGTTCTTTTCATTCCTCTTGTTTTCTTTCCTTTTCATTCACTCATTGTTGTACTTCTTTTCGTTCTTATCGTTCCTCTTGTCATTTCTCTTCCTTTTCATTTTTTAATTTTTTTACCTCTTTTTGTTCTTTTCGTTCCTCTTGTTATTTTCCTTCCTTTTCATTTACCCATTGTTGTACTTCTTTTCGTTCGTCTTCTTCATATTATTGTTGTACTTCATTCATTTTGTTCCTCTTGTTCATTTTCATGTTTTTCTTATTGTTTTTCTTCGCACGGTTGCCGTTGATTTTGTTGTTCATATTCTTCTTCTCGCTGCTTTGAAGTTCTTGTGCTTCCCTTTAGTTTCTATCAATCATCTTTGCTTTTATTTTGTCATGGACATTCTCCTTTCTTTCATATTTATTTGCTTTTCCTTTCTCGTACTTTTTCTTATTGCTCTTAACGCTGTCTTTCTTTAACGTTCTTTGTTTTTTTTCCCCTATCGCTTAACTCTTTTCATTTCGTATTCACATTCCCATCCTTGTAGCAGTTGCTTCTCATTTTCTATCTACGAATCCAACTTCAAAATTCCCTTAACTGGCACCATTCATTTCACGTTTAACAAACTAAATATGCAATTATTTTTATCAGCTGCAGTGCCTTTTGTTATTGAGCCAACTAGTTTCATCCATATCACGTCAGAGAATTTGGTTTCCATTAATTGTACTTTCCATGTTAAATTTTATTTTATCAGCATTCCTTTTTTGCATCTTCTTTCATATATATATATATATATATATATATATATATATATATATATATATATATATATATATATATATCTTTTAAAAAATTCTTTTGTCTTCTTCTTGAAGGAAGTGAAATATTGATTTAACCCATTCATCAATGTTTGGCTTATACAATAATCACTGACAGCCTCGTTGTCAGTCATTTCTCAATGTCGGCGTGCATTGTGCGATTGAAGAGGGAAACGTGTTGGATACTGAACAATTAAATGCTTTTCCTTTTATCTTATTTTTTCTACGTATATAACTTTATTTGTAACAAATGAAAACTTCTAACACGTTATTGATTCAATGACAGGGTCTATTATTCCCTTTTGTAAAATAGAATAATGTTCATATTTTTCGTTCCAGTATTTTTCTTACTGTTACAGGATAAATGAGTGAGAAAAAAAAATGAATATTTCACTAAAGGAAAAAATCAATGAAACTTACAATGCACATTTCTGGCAAGAGACATATTTTTAAGAGATTGATTCAATTGAATAATGATTAAAATTCAAACAATTCCAAAAATGCTTGAATTTCCTGAAAAGGAAGCACAAAATAAAGCTAGTTTCCTTATCATTAAAATCATAGGAAATACTTATGATCATTTTTTCTTCTTCTTCTATGGCCCATGTTTCTTCAGGATATTTGGGATCATGGTTCTCCACAATTTCCTGTCATTTATAACTCTTAATAAATTTTGTCTTTTTTTCTTATCTCCTACACCTTGTTCTAACATCCATTTACTCAAACTCGCTAGGTCGGTTATATGTTGTTCTTCTCTATCCCTCTTGCCTTCAATCTGTCCTGTGAGTATCAAATTTTCCTTGCACCCTTTCCTCATTATGTGCCCTAAATGTTTCAACTATCTCTTCCTGATGTTAAGTATAAATGTTATGTTTTTTCCATTTTTTTTAAAAACTTTTGCTCACATGTTCAGTCCATGGCATTCGCAGCATTTTTTCGTATAACCATATTTCCGTTGCTTCAAGTTTCCTCTTTATCTGCAGGGAGATTTTCCGGCATTCCCTGCCACAGAGGTGCTCTGTATAGTGTGATCAAATTAGTCACGTTGTTTCTTGTGCTTTCTCGGTGTTAAATGACCACTAAATAATACTGATATCAATAGAGTTTAGAATATTTTTTCCGTTTTAATTTTATATTAATGAGTTTATTTGAGCTGACTGAAAATATTTTCAAATGCTTGAAAATAATCAGCATCATTTATTTACTTTTATATTTTATTTCGGGAGTCATTAATTTTATTTTTTGGAACTGTTTGTATATTTACATGTCTCCGCCATTCGCTTTCAACACATCGCCTTACCTCCGTATGTAACTGGTTCGTATGTCTTTTTATCTCGGGTACTTCAACCCTGGATGAATTGCTTCGTTGTGCTCATGACCTCCTGGACACTCCTACTAGGATGATTCATCGCTGAGGCACTAGTTTCCTTGCTGCCTTATAGAAGGACAGCTCCGTAATTTTTTTGTGCCTAACGAAGTTTTTTGTTTCTTAATACTTTACTTAGGTTTTGGAAGGCATCTTTTGGCTATCGCAATACACCTTCAAATTACAGTATCGTACTTTCCGTTCTTCTGTTAAAACGCTTCTCATTAAATTAAATTTTTAATATTTATTAATTACTTTTATTTAACATTATTATTTTTGTTGAATCACGGTGCAGTACGCCAGCAAAGAGACGCTGGGGTATAAATATAGGAAGCCAATGATGACACCCAATATGATAAGGGTATTATTTTGATTATTATTATTATTATTATTTTAGTCGGGTTCACCCCAAGCAAGGCAGTAAGCTCACTAAGACAGAAGAGGTTATTTGGTGTGGAAGAATTAGTAAACAGAAACATTAATAAGGAGCACGAACAAAGGAAAAGTGATCAGAGGGACAGCAGGTAGGGATTGACATTGCATTTAAAATAATGAAGTTTAAAGTTCATAGTAGGGTGACACTCTCTATCTTTCTCTTTCTCTCTCTCTGGAAATATTCTAGTCTTTTATCTATCTATCTGGAAATGTCCCAGTCTATTATCTATCTATCTATCTACCTATGCAAAATGCTTATGTTTAATTTTGTGCATCTTTTGTCATGAACTGGGACGCCATTGTTAAATCTGCCACAGTAAATAGTAATACATTGTGAATATGCTGTTTTTTATTGATTGATTTGTTGTTTTTTACGACTTATCAGACTCCGTAGGTTATTTAAAGCTGAAACATATTTAGGATTGTAAGAATAATGGTTTTTTTTTTTTTTTTTTTGCAAATGAATATGTCATTAATAATTTTATTGAAAATAACAATGATTTTTCCACATAGGTTCTATTATTTAACCCATAACGGGGTGATAGATTCATAGAATATACATATTAATAATAATTCTTTAACATGTGAGTATTTTACACTGCATAAACCAGTTAATTTTCTATGGAGAGATGGAAGTAGAGGAATTATTACCCTTTTGCTCTTACTATTAAAGAATGTGCGGATTTGACCTAATCAAACAGAAATCGGGGAATCGAGCTCGAATTCTGGTTGAGGTCATTTGTGTTAGTTTAGAATTAATGTGCTTATGAAAAGCATGAATCCATGTCTCTGAATAGCCACAAATTACACCTTTTATGCTGGTAACATTGAACCCGGTCAAATGTTGTGTTACTTGGAAAACCGATGTCAAATAAGCTCCATGGATACCGGGTTATCTGAATTGGATTAATATACACCCGTTGCCATTCGATTGTAGCATAACTGCAACTCAGCAAAGTATCAACTAACTTTGATCAAAGCATGTAAAACAGTTATTTATGGATTCGTCACTTTATTCCATTTTCTTAATGATGGAAATTATTAATATACGGTTTACAATTGAGAGCACTATGCTCACTTTGGCTATTATACTCGCAACGTTTCAGCTGTTGTACCCTTCTTCAGATGTCTGTCTTCACTTTTTTGGAATTTCAAACCGAAAGATTGTTCTTATTCTACTCTCCATATTTAGGAGATATTTCATACCAGTTACTAAACATCAGTCTTATTCAGCTAAGACTCGAGACAAGAGAAACGTGGTTCTACAGAAGGATACTGAGAATAACATGGACTGAATATGTGAGCGATGTCAAAGTTTTAGTGAAAAATGGAAACTAAAATGGCACATCAGAATGACTACAGCAGAATTTTCTAGGGCACATAATGAGGAAAGAAGTCTTACAAAATTCGTCACTGACATGACATATTGAAAGCAAGGTTGATTGATACGTTTTTTACGGTTTATCAACCTTTTTACAAGTTATTTAAAGCCGGAAAATATTATTAGATTGTAAGGAATTTTTTGAGATAATATTGAGTTAGTGACACAAGTCTTACTAATTAACCCATAGCTGAAGATAGAAGAGGTGGATTCAAATCTTTCATCTTATCCATGAATCCACTTGCACATCCAAATTTACAGCACCTGGTATTCCCAAGCAGTCACCCATCTAGGTACTAATCAAGCTCGACATTGCTTAACTTCGGTGATCGTATGGAAACCGGTATTTCAACGTGATATGGCCGTAAGACAAATCAAGGAAAGAGGGACAGAGGAAATTAGAGCATAACTTACTTATCTTGTGTAAATGTTTGGCAGGACAGGAATTAGTGAAAAGGCAGTTAGTCAGTTATGGACCATGCGTGATACACGCTTAGGCGATCATGTATCTTTCGATACATGACTAACGAGGCAGATTTCTTTTTCCGCAGTAGGTTGCCATTTCTTTCTGCGGTAGACCAGTTGCCATCCAAGTCTATAGAACCCGGTCTGTCCTCCTATTTACACATAGCTGGAGGTGGGGGAAGAAGAGGATTCATACCTTTTCCAATGGTATTAGCACGTGAGCGAATGTAATGGATTCGACAGGAATTCGAACTCGGCTCTCCGATTCCTCAATCCGAGCCGGTGTCCATTTGATCGCTCACGTCCTCAAGGGACGTGAGCGATCAAATGTGCTGTGCACATAGAAAATAGCAGAAGTAACATTTCCACACTGTCAGACTCAGAGATTGAACTCATATCTGCTAGGGAACCAGAAACATTTTAACAAGCACTTTAATCCACTATATTTTCTCTTGGACCTAACTGTTTTATGGTAGAGGACTGTGTGAGTATTTTTAGATGTTCGAACTATATTTCATTTCTTCGTCCAAATGTTAAGTATACACAACAGCCTTATTACATCTATCATAGGGATTAATATACTTAATATCTACTGTTTTATCTGAGATATATTGATATATAATTAATCGCGTTAAGTAAGTGTTTTGTTTGATGTGTATATCTGCAGCGATTGCACTTAATTCTGCATTCTACCTACATTCAACGAACCCATTTGACAATTCATAAGTGACTCAACAAATGCATAATTGATTAAGTGAATATCCGAGCAATATACATATGTTCCGTTCGTAATACACTACCGAGTGATTCGAACAAATACATCAAAGACAGAATTCGTAGCGTGAGGGAAAATAATCCAAATAAAAACAAGATGAATAATGTGCACGCATTTGAATGGATTGTTCAGTTGTTTTCCTTCCTCGCGGTAATTTTCTCGCATTTTCTCGCACTTTCTCGGATTTTCAGCTGTGATTTCAAATTTCAAACGATAAACGTTGAAACGAATTTGAAAAAAAAGGGAAGCAGATGTATACTCTTCAATACAAATGCATATTGACCTTGAATAATCGACTCCGTTAAACGTATATTTAGTTATTTAAGACGGTGATGACTTGTTGATCGCGAAAGGAAATCGTTCAGATGAGAAGTGCAAAAGAGTTTCTTATCATTTTCTCAATATATTGACGTTTATCTGTTGGCTGATTGAAAATGCATTTTAAAATGAGAAACACTGAAGGTAAATTAAGAGAGATAAATCAGTAATAAAACGTTTTCCTTCATTAGATGGAAATAAATACTGAACTCACGAGAAAAGTTTTATAGCAAAAAACCCAAAAAACAAAGAAATAACCTGCTGTTAGTGTCCTCCGTTATTTACACTGGCGTGTCAAAAGTCAGTGTATGAAGTTAATGGTAAGTGACACCACAATGGCTTAACATCATGAAAATGTACATGACGTATATCAATTGTGCTCTGGTATTTGCCGAACCAGTGTGAATTACGATTAGGCTGCTCATGGCAAAGCGACGTTGACTATCGGATTTTGAACGAAAATCATGATAGAATACGACAGAGGAGTTATTCAATTTCTGAAATTTGGTGTGTGGGAGGGCGCATTTAAAGCGTTACGATTGTGCCGTCATAACAGATATGACTTATTAACACTTTTTCTTTCTTTCTTTCTTTCTTTCTTTCTTTCTTTCTTTCTTTCTTTCTTTCTTTCTTTCTTTGTGCCACGTATTTTCAGGACGGGGGTGATCATGGCCCTTCACCTCCCTCTATCCCTTGCAGATCTCAACATGTTCCTTCCCTCTGCCTCCTTCCCCAGACCACGTTCTGTCATCCACTTGCTTAAGTCCGCCAGGTATGTCAAGCGGTGTTTTCCCTTGTCTCTCTTTCCCTCTATTCGACCTGTGAGTATCAGATTCTCCAGGCTCTCCTTTCTCATTATGTGTCCTAGAAACTTCAGCTGCCTCTTCCTGATGTTAAGTATAAGCCTCCTCCTTGTTTGCAACCTCCCTAAGACCTCATCGTTGCTCACACGATCGGTCCATGATATCCTTAGAATCCTACTGTAGAACCACATCTCCGTCGTCTCGAGTCTATTCTTCATCTTTGAGGAAATCCCCCAACATTCCCTGCCGTAAAGAAGGACAAATGTCACGTAACAGCTCAGTATTCTTTTCTTTGTTACCAAAGAAATCCTCCTGTTTCGCAATACTCTGCCCAACTTTTGGAATGTGTCCGTAGCCATCTCGATATATGTACGGATCTCAGTGTCACGCTCACTTTGGTAAATACAGTGACTAACTGCAGATAGTGTATGATAGTCCGTGCTAGACGGGTGAGATATTCAATTTCTGAAATTATTGGGACATGTAAAAGGTTACGTTTGTATCGCCTATAACTGACATGACGCCTTAATGAATACCGTGGCAAATAAAGTGGCTAACTATAGCTCGATTATGACAGTGCGTACTAGCGGGATAAGATATTCACTTTCTGAAACTCTGGGAACATTTAAAGCGTTACGTGTGTACCGGCAATAGCTGATATAACCGCGTGGCCTACCGTGTCTTGTGTATAATCGTGACCAGAGACGACTGGCTAGAAATGGATGTTGTAACAGCCAATAGAATCTGGCTCAAATCACATCTACATTCAATGAAGTAGATACCAAACACATATCAGGAAAATCAGATTTCTTTTGTTTCCATTGAATATGGGAGCAAAAACTCTACCAACACCATGAAACTCTATCAATACCATGATTCAGGACAAAGTGCCGGACCTTGACAGATGACATCGCTATTTGGAACTTTAAATATTCACACCCTATTGTGTGGTCCAATTAGTCATAGTCGAAGTTTCGAACTGATGGTAAAGTTAAGATGTGGCACGCAATTCTTCAAGTTCATGTGTCAACAAACCACCGTGCAAGCTCTTGATTTTCCCATAAACACGTAATAGACCAGCACTATTTATTGATTTTTTGTGGACAACATTTATCCCAACAATGATGAGTTACCCCAGATGGATAATGAACCGTATCATGAAACCAAAATTGCCCAGAATTAAATTGTGGAGCATTAGGAGGACGTGCGATGGCCCAACCACCATATTCATTCAAAATGACGTCAATGTAGTATTTATGGGACATAGTCGAGAGCTCTTTTTCGTGTGCAGGATCGTGGATTTAGAAAATTCCTGAGAGGTGTGGACCACTCTCGAAACGACATAACTCAATCTCTCTCTCTAGAAAATTTTACTTATAGAATAGAGTTGCTGCATTTCGCCTAGCAGTAGTAAACAAGACACCCTATATGCTGGCGATAGATCCATAATGGTGTGACGCGTGCTCGTATGGCATATGGTCCATTGACCGATAACCACTAAGATGCACTGTTTCATTTATGGGTCCGGAAAAGAAGAGCTTATTCCTACATTATAATGTACGTTTCACCGAACCCATATGGCCCAAAATTTGTTTGAGAGAGTTTCTAGAGATTTCCGATCAACAGTGTGACAACAAACGTCACATGACATTAGCCCAATCGAATATTTAAGTTTGAGAGTTCTATTTCGCGTACTTACAAATATCAAAGATCTGTGGAGAGCTATCGAGAATGCATGGCAAAAACATCACTTCAGATGACTTTTGATCATTTTATGGATTCAACATACCGGATTGCTGTATTTGGCCAAACTAAAGTGAGTACTATATGATATTAAACACCAAGCTATGATCTTTGGCTAGTCAGGGTATTTAATACGATATCTTTAGATGGAAAGGTAAGAATTCATTTGTTTCTGGGCTCCAGAGATATGTCTGAAAATAATGACTAGTCAATGATATGACATGATGGTTGATGGAAAAGCACTTGATAAATTCCCACAACGAGACCATGGTATTACGCCTATAATGAAACTTGACAGAATTCTGTCGCTCTACCTTTATAATGTCAAACTAAAATTTGTACAAGACTAAAATGTCTGTTTGTATAGCTCCCTCAAACTGTTCATTATCTATCGACCTCTTCATATCTATCTATCTATCTATCTATCTATCTATCTATCTATCTATCTATCTATCTATCTATCTGAATTAGTTCCTTATCTGCATGCTTGTCTTTCTGACATTTTCTCTTTCTCTATCTCAGTCTGTTCATTATCTGTTTATTTAAGTTTGATTATCTATCTATCTATCTATCTATCTATCTATCTATCTATCTATCTATCTATCTATCTCAATTAGTTCATTATCTGCCTGCTTGTCTTTCTGACGTTTTCTCTTTCTCTATCTCAGTCTGTTCATTATTTGTTTATTTAAGTTTGATCTATCTATCTATCTATCTATCTATCTATCTATCTATCTAAGCTTTATTTTCTCCATTGAATTACCCTGGGTTTATGCCATTGAAAATATTCCAGAACATTAGACTCTGTTAAATAAATCAATATTGTAGCTGCTTCGTTTTGTTCACTTTACTATAACTAGGTGAAAAGTTTTCTTTTAGACATTTTGCATTGCTAGTTCGTTTGCTTCAGGATTATTATTTTTCTTTTGTTTTCTGTGGCAAATTCAAATTTTCTGGCAGTTAATGAATAAAATAGCAGAGATACCCAGTTTTGCTTATTTTCAGAAATTGTCAGTTTGAGAAACAATAATTGAAATTCTTTGGATCGGTTCATTGTCTTTTGTTGAATCACTAAAACCTATCCTTAATGGATAGGCAATCCACAAATGTCAATTTAAATTTCTTCAATTGTTTTGCATTAAGCAATATTACCCTCTATTTGATTTGGTGCTCTTAAGAATACGATTTTTGGTTTTAGTTACACTTGTCTATTAATGAATAATGCGAACAGGTCACAATGTTTTCTGGGGAGTGTAACAAAGTGGTTTAACGTTTTGATGTCCAACATATTCTATGAATGCTGATGCTTGAGAGAGATTTTAGCGATGCAGTCAGTTATTCTAAACTCACCTATGTTCTTCCCATTTAGTTCAATTCAGATTACATCTGCTAAGTGTTAGATTAAACGACAGAAGTCTATGGCAAAGAATCAATATCGATCTTTGAATAAAAGCATGACTATGGATAGAAAGGTTAGAAAAATATATAACAAAGTGGAAAACATTTGTCCTTTACGACTTCATTGGACTAAAGTGATATTTACGAAGATGTGATGAAATAGAGGAGACACTGAAATTTTAAATTTAAATTAATTTAAAAAAAATATGTTTTTGGATATAACGTCTAGCCGATTTCATTTTTTTATATCTTTATCACTTTTGCTATTATCCAACCTTGTGAGAATAGAATATCTGACAAGAAAGGTGAAATCTTGTAAAAATCTAGACGCAAATTTACTGTGGGTGATCTAGCGATCAAACATTTTCTTTACATTTTCGTCTTAGTAAATTGCTTTCTCTTTTAATTAAAGAAGCATTTTTAAAATGAAATCTATAATCAGACTCATTACGATGAGCAACTAATACATTGAGTATGTTTTTTGGTTCGTAAAATATTTTATTTAAATTATTTCAGGTTTCTCCTATGTATTATTTTTCCCACTTTGTCATAGATTTTCCTAAAATTATTCGGATATATAAATATTTATATATCATCTTCCCAAATAGTAATGTATGGAATTCCAGAAGAGAATCAAATTTTAAATCAAAGAAATATGATTCATTGCAGCCAACATGACCGTTACGGCATTGATTCTATTTTTAGGTCGTAACTGAGTGGATTACAGCCAACGTCACCGTAGTAATATTGATGAAGATGTTGACTGCGACAAGGAGAAAATGAAAAAAAATTTAGTAAACGTATTCAGCGAAGTGAACTCAACGTTGGTAATTGTGAAAACCTGGAACAGAGATCATAAAACGTTAATAAAACGTATTGAAAACATTGCAAAGAGAAAAATCAGAAGCAAAATCTTTGAGAATATCGCAGAGAGAGAAATGTGAAAAATTGAAAATGATATGAAATTAAAGGAATAGACATCAGATATTAACCCAATAGAAATTCTCCTGTAAGCAATAAAGCCGTTGGAAGTAATGTTAAAGTAGAAACAATTGAAAACTAATAAAATTAATGATGAATGATTGATGAAAATTAGAGAATGTCAAGCTGCTCATAATAACATATGAATATTAATTTATTCGGATAGCGAAAGGTGCCTTTTAAAAGCTAAGTAAAATATTAAGTAACAGGAAAATTTCCTTAGAAGAAAAAATAAACTATATTACATATTTATCAGTCTATCAGTCGTCTATACATTGAATACTGATATCACGTCTGGTCATTTGTTCAGCTGTGTATTTACAGACTCTTGATAAAGTACAAAGAAGAATTTGCAATGTTACTGGTCCCAACCTAGCACTTCGGCATCAGTCCATTTCCCACCGCCGTAACGTAGCTTCCCTGTGCGTTTTCGATAAATATATTCGTGGTAATTGTTCTGATTAGCTTTCCCCTTTGGAACCTAGACTTTGTGAATTTAAGGACAGAAGGAGATAGGCAACTAGATCTCGTCATTTTACAGCTGAAATGGAATAGATGTAAAGATAAGTTCTTCTCTCTCATTTCTCTTGCGGAACACTCTTTCGGTTTCTTGCTTCCTAGTCAACTTTGATCCTCAAAAATTAAATGCAATGTCAATCGTAATCTTCTGTCTACTTAATGTCTCTTCTTTTATTATTCTTTCTCCTTAATAATATTTCGTTTTCTTATATTCACTCACACTCAGTAACCCTCTTGCATCTTAGTGGCTTTATTGCTTTGCTTGGGGTTACTTGATTAAAATATTTGAAAAAGAGAACTGAATTGCTATATGATATTAAACCTTAAATCTTAAACAAAGATATGCTTCAATAAAAGAATACTGAAAATACCCTCGAAGGAACAAGTGGACAAAAAGGAAGTTTTAAGAAAAATGGCCACAAAATGGACGCTTCTGTTTAGAATTAGAATTAGAAAGAGTCACTCACGGGACAAACTGAAGGCAGGAGGAACATAGGAAATCAGTGAGTAAGCTACCTAATGAGTTTGTGTAAATCGATGGCAGAAGTGGAAGTTGTAGGGAAAGTAAAAAAGACAAACATTGTTAAGAGATACAGAAGAAAGGAGCAATGTTCGATCATGTTCTGAATGGATACGACATTAAAGAAGACATGAGATATTATGATAATCATATATATTTCTGCGGTTTATATATTTTCTATTTATTTATAAGTATTTGTTTCGCATAAACAATTGTTTTGCATAAAGAACTTATATATCCCAAACAAGCTATATTAAATTTTGTTTAGTAACGGTAGATAATAAAAGCTGAAATTAGTAAGATATATTAATAGAAATATATCCTGGAAATTTCAACAATTTGTAATAATTTTTTATATTGTTTAAAATAATGGTAATAGTAAAATTAGCCCTATTTGTACAAAAAAATGGCATTCATTGACCAAGCATTCAACGTGGTTGTCTCACTAGAACCATTACGATTTTCAACCTCATCGGACTTTGCCCCAATCTAAGATACGCTCAGAAAATCACCATTATTACTTTCGATTGAAATTTCTAAAATCTTTGTCTTAAAGTAGGTTTTCAGGTTTTTTTTAAGCGTTTCACCCCAAGCAAAGGCGAGAAGCCACTAAGGGTTACAGAAGATTTGTAGCAAGATCAGATAGGAGTGATAGAGGAAAGGATGAGGAGAAGGATAGTGGATAGATCAAGGCAATTGGAGATGTCGATTGACATTACATTTGAATAGTTGGAGATTATAACTTTCAGGAAACTGGAATAGGGAAGGGAGTTCCACAAGTGAGAGGTGCGAGACATGAAGCTATTGGAGACGGCTACATTTAGGAGTTTCGACAGTGAAAGGGTGAGTGCGGGATGCCAGCCTCGTAGGGCGCTTGAACTCATGAAGTCTGGGAACCAGCGAATGCATCTCCTAGGAGCAATTGCCATGAAAGTATTTGTAAGAAAAGACAGAGAGAGGCGATGGCGCATCTGTGAGAAAGTGACTGCAGACGAGATGCCAGAACTGGGCTAATTATATTGCATATACGTCTCTGGAGCCTATCAAGAACCCCGAGGCAAACAGAAGGGGCTCCAGATCATATATGGCAGCAATACTCCATGCAAAGGTGAATTGTTGATTTGTAGACCTGGAGAATCGATTTCGCGGAGAAAAAATTCCTGGCGCGACACAGGGAGCCAACTTTCCTTGCGGTGGACGAAGCAATTGACTCAATGTATTTGTTCCATCTAAGGTCAACAGTCAACGTGAGACCGAGCAGCCGCAGAGAGGTGCTCTCGAGAAGTTGAGCGTCAGACATTCTAATGGGGGGGGGGGCAGGGAAGGATCTCTGTGGTAATTAATAGAGAGCAGTTTTGTTTTTGAGGCATTAAAGTTGACCAGTCAATTCCTGCCCCAGTTCATAACCGATTAGTTAATTCGATTCATCGCGTCCATTAACTGTTATTGCTTTTTCTGCTAGTGATGGTTAGTTGTTTGGTTCATTTTCTACGGTTTATCAAACCTTTGAAGTATATTTAAAGTCAGAAGATATCTTTTTTTAAATTGTAAGAAATTTTGCTGGGTGATAATAATGGTTTAGCAATACAAGTCTTACTATTTAGTCGATAGATGGTCGGAGAATAGCTAGATTCACATTTTTTTAAGGGTATTTGCGAGTAAATGAATATAACAAATCCAACAGGAATTGGAACTCCAATTGACAATTCCGCGTCATTATCAATTACACCATCCGCACATTCAAACTTACAGCACCTGGTATTCTCAAGAAATCCCACATCTAGATACTGACCAGTCTTGACGTTGATAAACGTCATTGATCGAACAGGAAATGGTATTTGAATGTAATGTAGCCGTAAGCCCTAATAGTGATACTGATTTCCTTCCAAACATTTCCTTTCGGTATTTGGGAAAGTTAACAATTTAATTTTATTATTACCTTCTCTTGTTATTACATATGCTCCAGATTGTTTTGCTGTTGCTACTATTAGAAGTGCTTAAATGATGTGGTTTTCGTGTTTGATTTCGCACTTTATTTACGAGTAACCGTATACCAGGAGCTGCAAGCTTGAAATCTCTGGATGTGTAATGGATAATGGCACGAAATTTTAAATCGTTAAACGAGGTTTCAATTTCTGTTGGGTTCGTTATATTCGCTTACGCGCAAAGAGCCTTGGGAAAGGTGTGAATCCATCTCTTCTCACTCCACTATAGATTCATTAGCAAAACTTAAAGCATCACTAAATCATTATTACCTCAAAAAGTCTCACAATCTAAAAAAAATATGGCTTTAAATAACCTGCAGAGGGTTGATTATCTGTAGGAAACGTAGAAAAAAGTAAGATGAAAACATTATTAGTGAGAGTTTCTTCTTCTTTAAGGTCATTTTCATTAATATCTATTTTATTGAGAAAATATTGAGTTGTATATTAAATTTTGCATAGCGCAGTATGGCTATTGAAAATTTCCTGGATGAAGCGACTAAACAACTAGGAAGTCTTCAAGAAAATGGCAACAGAAAGAACATTTATATTCAGAATCAGGAAATGACAGCTGAAATTCCTAGCGAATATAACGAGGAAGGAAGGCTTGGAAAACAAGCCTAACTCTGTGTATTGAGGGCAAGTGAAATAGGGGGAGCTAGCGAGCTTGTATGAATGGATAGCAGAACAAGGGCGGAGGCCTTAGCAAAGAGAGAAAAACAGAATGTTGTGGAGATCCAAAACCACTGCATGTAGAACATGAATAATAATAATAATAATAATAATAATAATAATAATAATAATAATGAGTTTCACATGGGTGCAGAAATACAAATAAAGCACAATACACCGACTGAAGCTGCAAAATACTTAAAAAGAAAGCAAAAGCAAATGCAACCAACTAGTTACAGAAACAATGGCAAGATAAACCGCTTTCAGTTCTCTGCCCATACAAAACAAGTTGATATAGACAAACCCCATACCCATCAGTGGCTACGTAGTGCAAGGTTAAAAGCTGAAAGCAAAGGTTTTTTTCCTTGCTACATAGGACCAATGATTGTGAACTAGAAATTAACAAGCACACATTCTAAAATATTGTGTTAGCCCAAAATTCAAATTCTGTGATAAATATACAGAAACAATTGATCATCTTGTATCAGGTTGCAAGGGATTGGCATCCACTGAATATAAAACCCGGCATGACAGAGTGGACCAATATATGCACTGGAAAATCTGCAACTTCTACGGGAAGGAAACTGAAAGAAATTGGTATGGATACCATCCAGACCCCGTTACGGAAATAAGACCTGTTAAAACCTTATGGGATTACACAATACACACAGACAGAACAATCAAAGCCGACCGTCCAGACATTGTTATTAGAGACCGCAAACTAAAAAAGCGCCTCCTTATTGATATGGCAAAGTATACACCAGAAATCAAATAATAATAATAATAATAATAATAATAAGCAGAAGAAGAAGAAGATGAAAAAGAAGAAGTATGACTTGTGCGAATGTCTCCATGACAATTTTAATATCATATTAATATAGATCAATATCACTAGTATAAAGAAAATTGGAACAGTTTTTTTCTTTGAAGAGATTAAATTCGTGAAATCATTATCTGTGAAACTTCAAGGATGAAGCAAAAATCACACGTGTACCTCAATATTGTTCTGTTTACTGAACTATAGCAAAACTCCATTTATTTCACATTTGAAAAATTTAATGAATGTGCATTTGAAAACCTCGTAGATGAGATTGAAATTAAAGAATTTTTATTGAAAAAAAAAAGAAGTGATGGCTGTGGGTTTGACTTTTTGTTTTTAATAATCTGATAATCCACTTCATTTTTCCCCTAATCCCTTAATCGATCCGGATGTGTGTAAGTGAAACGCATTTTATCAACGGAAATGATTTTAATTCATGCTTTTAAAGAAAATAAAAAAAAGAAGAAAAAGTAAAACATGAAAACATACACAGCCCAATATACAAGATTACCAAAAACATTTCCCGATGTAAGCAGATCACATTGGCAAACAAGAAAAACACGATTCAGGATCACGTTTTTCTTATAAACACACACGCAAATGCGCGACACATACATAAATTCAAGTAACAAACCAAGAGACCGCGGAATTTAATACTCGAACTAGCTTTCTGAATGTTTTTATAGAATAAGATTCTTTCTTTCCCGGGAGAATGTCCCACGGGACTAAGGGGAAAATTCGAGTGAACTAACAAAATTTAATCTGTTCAAATTTAATGAACTTTCAATAACAAATATAGGACCCAGAACTTGAAAGTTAAACGCTATGTCCCATAATAATTGTTACATTAAGTGTATGGCGTGTACATGCAAATGTAACAATTATTAGGGGACAAATGTTGCCGTAGAAAGGTAAAGGAATAACAGAGAATTAAATGAAAACTATTATATAATAAATGTTTAAAAACATAAAACAACCTCTGTCACGTAATAGATGTTACATTAAGTGCAAGAATAGTAAGCAAATGTAACAACCATTGTGGGACAAAAGGTGTAATAGAAAAAAAAGTGGAATAGTAATAAATTTAAAGGAAAACTAATAAAGATTGTCCCATAATAGTTGTTACGTTGGGTGTATCAAATATGTATGCCAATTTGACAACACTATGGGGACAAAAAGTGTTTCTTATTGACTGATTTGTTTTCTACAGCTTTTCAATACTTTGGATATTGTTTAATGCCACAATAGCAATCGTGGCCAATTGGTTAGAACGCTCGCTTTCTGACCATGAAACCCGGGTTTGAACTTCACCATCAGAAACTTCCTGATGTTATCGGACTGCCTCGAAGTCGACCCCAGCGGCACCTTTGGAAAGTGTCTGAAACTCATACTACTGGTTGACCCAAGCCTTGCGAGTGAAATTGAGTAGACGGAACTCTTGGGTTCCGTCGATAGCTGTGCTAGCATGAAACATGCAGGTCTTGTTCATCTTGGTGATCACGCTAGATAACACGCTCTCTCCCAGAAACTGTAACTAAGGTCAGCTCAGCATAGTTGCAGTTTAAACCACAGGTGGGCTCTGTGAGTGTTGAGAAAACGCATATGTGCCTGAGCGAACGTCTGCAATAGGGATTGGTTAGCCACCCTAGTATACGGGTATCCTCGAATACGATGGTAACTGTCTACTAGGGCGGATCGCCAGATTGTACCAATTCTCTTTTTCAGATAATAATGGTGTAGTGATACAGATCTTATAGCTGGTAGGAGAAATGGTGGATTCATTTCTTTCTCAAGAGTATTTACACGTAAGTGAATATAAAGAACTTATCTAATGGGAATTGAACCTCCTTTCTCCGATTTCCAATTCAGAGCTATTATCCATTACAACACGCGCAAATCTAAAATTGCAGCACCTGGTTTATGGTATTCCTAGTAAGTCACACATCTAGGTACGGACCATGCTCGACGTTGCTTAACTTCGGTGATCGTACGGGAACCGGGGTTTCAACGCTATATGACAGTAAGTACAAAAGGTGTAACAGAAAACTAGAGGAATAAAAATAGATTTAAAGGAAAAATTATAAAAAAAAATGATTGTTTATAAACATATGACCAGCCCTGTCTCATAATATTTGTTACATCGAATGTATGACATGTACTACTACTGTACTGATGCGGCATTCACCCTGGGCGGATTGAGCCGGCTTCTTCCTGTTATGAGAAGAAGATTCTTGGGATAAATTACAGAAGTAGGGTACCCAGGCCTACTCGGATAACGTTCTTGCTTGCCGCGGGGTTCCCACAGACGCAGAGACAGGAACGACCAGAAGCCGCCGGTTACCGATGCAGACGCTCCTTGGATTTTCACCAGAGCCCTTGTTAGCCGGCGTGTGTGTCAGACCTGTCCGCCTTGGGTGGCCCTACCAGGAACGAAGTTCCGGGCGGCATAGCTCTGACATAACCTTTTACACCCCCTCACCGACTGTGAGGTAAGGGTTGGACTTTGGGGGCTTACAGTACCAGGTGTTCCCAAGCGATCCCCCATCTAAGTACTGACCTGGCTCTACGATGCTTAACTTCGGTGATCGAACGAGAACCGGTGTTTTCAGCGTGATTTGACCGTAAGACTAGTCTTATGACATGTGTATGTGGATGTAACACCAATTATGGGACAAAACAATACAAATTTAATAGAATAACAATAAAATTAAAGGAAAATTCATATATAATCAATGTTTATAAATATATTACAACCTCTGTCCGGCAATAATTGTTAAATTAACTTTATAAAATGTGTAAGCAAATGTTTTAAAAATTTTGGAACAGAGATTGTATTTATTTCTAATTATGCGGTTGCATCAATTTTTAGATATATACAAACCAGTAGTTTTATATCCATAAAGCTGTGCGTAATAGAGGCCAATACTAAAATTAGGGCCTTACCTTGGATAATGTTTATTGAATTAATCTATCACTGTTGCTTTTTGATATGCCAAGTTCTTTCAGGATGTAGGTGAACATGGCTCTCTTCAGCTTTCTGCTTTTTGTTGCCGTAAATAATTTTGGTCTTTTGCTTTCCTTCTTTGTCTCTGTTACATCCATAGAAACTAGATAATTAGGTAACTTGCCTTCGCTGTGTCTTGTGGTTAGAAAACTTGGCAATACTTAAATAGACTGGTCCACTCATAAATAAAATAGGGACAGTTCCTCAAGCCAATACTGACTTTTTTAGAAGGAGGATGTTGTTCTTCAATTTGATAGAGTGTAAAATCGATACGTGACTACTTACAAAATTATCCGACTTAATTGTTAGTTTCAAATATTTTGAAATAATGCTTTCATCATTGATATCTACATATGTTTTGATTTTATGATTTTTAAAATTTTTTCCAAATTATTTTAACTTTAAAAATATTTTTATGGGGAATATGTTTTCGGAAGCAATGTACAAAAAGTAGAGGTTGATAATTATTTATTTTAAATTAAACAGATATATACTTTTATTAATATAAATTTTTGTTCTTTAAATGAAAATGTACATCTACATTTGTTTTTTTTTTACCGAAAAGAAATCATTTTGTAAAATAAATGTTATTTTCGTACGCAGAACAGCTGATTCCAGATAACTCTGTAAAGAAATCATTTTGTAAAATAAATGTTATTTTCGTACGCAGAACAGCTGATTCCAATAACTCTGAAAGAAATCATTTTGTAAAATAAATGTTATTTTCGTATGCAAAAACAACGAAGTCCAGATAACTCTGTAAAGAAATCATTTTGTAAAATAAATGTTATTTTCGTACGCAGAACAGCTGATTCCAGATAACTCTGTAAAGAAATCATTTTGTAAAATAAATGTTATTTTCGTATGCAAAAACAACGAAGTCCAGATAACTCTGTAAAGAAATCATTTTGTAAAATAAATGTTATTTTTGTACGCAGAACAACTGGGTCCTGATAACTCTGTAAAAAGTCAGTGACCGTTTTTGCATTATATCGATATTATCAACAAGGCCTCACAACTAAAATTATTTAAAAAAAAATCATCAGTATAGATTGTGACAAATGTCCTGCATTGAACGCTTAAGGAAATCTAATCCACGCAAATTACTTTAAAAGTAGTTTTTAGACTAATATTTAGAAGGCCCAAGGTCCACTCAAGATTGAGAGATACTGTGTGGTGTTGTATAAGCGTAAGAAAAGGTAAGAAGTGAAGTTCATGTTGTTATGCAGGATTAATCCTAGACTTGAAGAGGTCGTGATTCTAGTGACTGGGAAAAATCCTTTCGGGAGTGTGTTCCATAAAGTATCAATCCTTGAGAAGACGCTGTCCGAGTGGAACTTACTAATGGAATACGAAGATGGAGATAATTAACACCTGTGTACGTAGCATGGCGGGACCCAGTTTTTAAGATCAGGGACTAAGGAATGTAGCTCGTCAGAACATTTACAATGGAAATAGCGATAGAGCAGCGAGAGGATCGCGACGTTTCGACTGTGGAAAAGTATGGTGGAAAATAAGTCATCATCCACAAGTCTGGATAGACATTTTTGAATTTTATGAAGAGAGGCATGTAAGGACTGGACAGCTCCAGCCCAGATATGACAGCAATAGGAGTAGAGTCCGTACACTGAAGGAGTGATGCTAGAGCTGTGAAATCTTGCATGCATTAATTTCAACTTATTAATAACTGTATTGTTTTCTTCTTGAAAAAATGACACCTGACTGTTTAAAGAAAACTTCAAAAGTAACTAGTAGCGACTTCTTTTGAAAATAGACAAAATTTGGCATCGGCGTATTATCAAATACCCGCAGAAAAAATGTGTTTAGCCCCAAATGACATTCATGCTGATATGGTTGCTGCATTAGGGAATGATACTTCTGGTTTATCAACAGTGCAAATGTGGGTAGCTGAATTTAGAAGAGTAGGTGAGAGTCTTGAAGTTTACCCAAGGTTTGGAGATCCTGCAACTGCTACCACCGATGAAAACTTTCATCGCATGATAGATAACAGGCGATTAATTATGAATCAAATGGCCAATCCCATTAGTATTTTCCGTGAGAGTGTCCAGAGTATTCTGCACAATGAACTTCGTATGATGAACGTTTCTGCTCGGTGGGCGCCACATATACTGGCACCTGATTCACGGGAAAATCCGACATTGTTTCAGCTAGATCTTGCTGGAGTCCTCGGACGTCTCCTAACTGGATGGGTGTTGGGTTCACCACGTTGCGACAAATAGACAATGCATGCAGTTGAAATACCTTTCCTCACTTGCTTCAAAGAAGGCCAATTTCGTTTCTTTTGCAGGGAAGTTGATTACCTCAGATTTTGTGGATGCAAAAGGCATTGTGTTTATTGACCACACCATCAATGGAGAGTACTCTGACAACTTCCTGAGACAGTTACGAAAGTCTATCAAGATCAAACGCCCAGGAAAATTGACAAAGGGTTGTTTTTTTTCATCGAGACAGTACTTCAGCTCAGAAACCCTTGGTTTCAATAACTGCTCTGCGTGACTGTGACTTTGAACTGGTTGTTCCTCATTTCTATTCTCCCGATTTGACTATCATCTGTTTTCCAACATGAAAAAAGCTCTGAACCAGTGTCGCCGTGACGATCACGTCATACTATGCAGTTGATGAATTTTTTGACCAACAGAATGAAAGCTTCTCCATCAATGGGATCCATGAACAAGCGATGCCATTCGGAGTAATGTGTAGACCATAAGAGGGAAGAAAATGTTGAAAAATATACCTCATTTGGTCATATTCCATGAGAGTATCTTGGTCAACCTATGAACTTTTCAACCGAACCTTGTCCACAAGCCAACCCCATTCAATAATCCTCAAGTAATACTTGATTAGCTTCTGCCTTGTATTAGGAGAAATATAAATTCTGGTGAGGGTCCCAGTGTACGGTAATTGCTAGCTATCTCGTCTGGTTTATCATTAGAAGGAAATTGGATCATCACTGGGTAGCACATACCATTGGCCTTGTGTCAGACCAAGCTTAATAAAAGGCAACGGGCAATGACCCATGAAGCTCTCTTGTAAAGCAGCACTCTACTGTAAGTGCCCTTTCAGCAGTGAATGTATTTATTTTTTAGCTTGAAGACATCTCATCCTTTCTTTTTCTTCAATTAGTTTGATAGTAGCTAATAAGAGCGAACAGGCCAACACCAGTGTGTGCTTTCTGGAGGTTTCGAAGAGATTTCCCCCAGAGCTAGATTAGCTGCAGCTCGTACGTCTGAGTGAGCTCAACGGTTAACATTATCGACATGAAGTGTAATTAAAAATTACGAAACGGCACAGTAAACAGGTAACCACGTCTCAGATTATCAGCGTTTTCCAGAAGTTATTTGTTGTACAGTCTCTTCATATAACTGCATTTCAAATAATAACGATTAGCAGAGATTCAGTTAAATAAAGTGATGTTATTTTAAGAGTTAGAGGAAGATTAGAAGTTTTTAAAAATGCATTGAAAATCAAGAAAACGTTACTAATAGGGTTAATATATGTATAAATAAATTGAGGTGCGGTACAGAATTTTATTAACGCTTTAAAAATAGATATTTAAAAAAAATATAAAAGAGATAATGCCGGATAAAAAAATAAAAATAAAAATCTTAAAAAAATAATTGTTTACGTTTCAGGTACAAAACTGAAGCTATCATTTTTTTTATAATAATATTCGATCGAAAGTGACTCGTGATACAGGGTTGCAAAATACGAGATAAGGAGGTCTGTTTATAAGGATATGTGGGGAAGATAGTGGTTGACCTAAGACTTGTATAGTTGACTGTAGTAATCAGGGCAGAAACCTAATGGGGGGTCGATTGCACAAAACTGATGTTTCCACAGAGTAAGTGCTTTACTATAATAGATAGTTCAGACGTTGGTCTGTCACGCTGTCAACTTTGATAATCTGAAAACCGTACCCTATGATTAAAATTAATAGTGTTTCCTTTATGGAAAAAATAGATGCAGGTTGATTGCTGTTAGTGGCGA